TTTCATCCTCACTGGCTTTAGTGGTTGGTGCATACATTTGAATAATAGTGGTATTAACTGGGCTTCCCTGTAGGCGCATGGATATTATCCTATCACAGACAGCATTATACCTCATGACTGATCTGGATATGTTCTTTTTGACCATGAATGCAACACCATTCCTTTTCAATTTGTCATTCCCTGCATAGTAAACCATGTGGTTGTCAGATTCAAAATGGCCAACACCAGTCTATTTCAGCTCACTAATGCCTAAGATATCTATGGTTATGCGTTCCATTTCATTTTTGACAACTTCCAGTTTCCCCAGATTCATACTTTGTACATTCCATGTTCTGATTTTCAATGGATCTTTACAGCTGTTTATCTTCATTTTGAGTTGTGTCACATCAGGAATTGAAGGTTCTGTGGGCTTTTCTCCCACAAGCTTAACTCCATTCACGTCAACTCTACTTTGAGGAGGCATCTCTTCCACAGTTACATTTTGAGTGCCTTCCAACCTGAGGGGCTCCTTTTCAGGCCCTGTATCTGACAGTGTTTCTCTGCTATTCATAAGGTTTTCAATGACAAAAGATTCAGAAGTAGTTTGTCACTCTTTCTTCCTAGTCTTTCTTTGTGTAGAAGTTCATCTGAAACCTGTCCACCATCGGTGACCCTGCTTGTTCTTTAAAATACCAGTAGTATAGCCCTCAGAATCACAGCAACTCACAAGCCATCACGGTACTTATGACAGACAGACGAGTAAGCTGTTTGGTTTTAGGTTTGAAGTTTAGTCATGTTAAATAGTCCAAAGTTTTCTATCTTCTGGGAGGTTTCTACTGCTACTGAGAACTGAGTTACACAACTTTTTTGTAACTGTCCCTACTGGCATGAGCCATCACCAGGTGGAAATTGGGAACCACCCCACAACTTACATGCCCTTCAGGCACCACTATAGATTTGTTGCTGATTATTGTAAAATTAAAAGGTCTAAACTGTGTGACCTTAAAAGGCCTCAAGGTTTCTGAGCAAGTATTGATACTAGCCTTGATCATTCATTGGGTGTAGCATATGTCAATCCATGAATCTCAGCAAATGAGTTTAGAGCTCTTAATAAGGTGATCTTTGTCCACTCGTACTGGCCCGGCCTCTGTCACGTGCCCAGAGACTTCTTTTGCACCTTGCCCAATACCAGTTCAAGGGCAGCCATAGTGGGCGGTTTCTGTTGTCAGCCCCTTGCACTTCCTGTCCCCAAACGCACAAATAGACTACTGCCCCCTGGGAGCAGCCTCCATTTTCTATGACCTCCCCTCAGGGGTCATCACTCCCGTGGCGGCCATCTTTGCCATCCTCGCCAGAGCCAGATTTTTGTCGGTTGGGTGAGGTACCGCCTGGTGCCATGTCTGCCACCAATGAGCCAGACCAGGACCTAGGTGCCCAGTTGGGCGTGGGGGACGTAGCGGGAGCTGGCAGCCGGGTGGCGGACGAGCCGGGGCTGGTGGGGGCGGGCGCCCCTGGGGCTGTGCAGGAGCAGGGGGTCCCTGCGGGCTCCGGGTCCCAGGCCCAGGAGGTCCAGATGAGCCGGGAGGACTCGAACATCGGGCCAGCCGAAGAGGAGGGGGCCGTGGCCGAGGAAGCTAACCCGGCCCGCGTGGTCGATGTCCACCAGCTCCCCATAGCCAGCTCCCAATTTGATTTCCACAAGCTGATCCACTCCATGCTGCGCCGCCAATACCACCAAAACCACGTTGTCATATGGCCCCGCGACAGCCCCATCGGGCGGCGCCAGCCCCAAAGCTTCAGGTTCAGGTGCCGGGGCAGCGGCTACAGGGGAGGTGGCCAGGGCCACGGGTCCCAGGGCCAGTCCTGGGGCCCTGGCGCGGGCGAGGACCCGTCCTGGAGCGCCTTGCCCCAGCTTGACTATGTCCCAAGCCAAGCCCCTGCCCCGGGGCCCACTGAGCCCGGGGAGCCCTCCAACCAGACACAGCAGGCCCCAGAGCAGGAGCAACCTGAGGACGCCTCCCACCAGGCCTCAGCACCACAGCTCGATGCCGCCCAGCCTGGGACATCCCAGAGCCAGTGGGCAGCCCTGCAGGAGGATGAGGGTGGGCCGAGGCGCTGCAGAGCTGAGGGGTTGGAGGTGGAAGGGTGGGTGGGTGGATGGACAGAGGGATGGACAGATGGATGGATGGCTACGTGGATGGGTTGGGTGGGCCCAGGAGAGGCCTCTGTGCCAGGCCCAAAGTGCCCAGCCCTCCAACCAACTTAACCTAACCTCCCTTCCCCGCAGGTCCTGAGGAGCCAGGTTTTCAGGAAAGCATGGGGGTGGGGGAATAGGGGAGGGCAGAGGGAACGCACTGAGGTGGTATTCCTCATGTGTCCTGTGTCGGGGAGGGCTTTTGAAAATCCAGTCTTAGATCCATCCAAGAAATGATGAACGGATAGGGGAGCGCTTGGTCAACATCAAACATCCAGGGGGTTGAGAACTATGAGCGTCACCATAAAATTGTTCTTTCGGGCAAATGAATATTTATTTTTCCAACAAAACAGAAAGACCCCCATGATTGGGATCCTATTTTCTCCAAAAGGCCAGACACACTTAGCAGCTTATGGCATGTGACACTTTCTAGACAGAAGGAAATCGAGTCACTGGGCAAACTCTATCAGGCAACAGCACTGTGAGGGCCCTCGAAGGGCCGAGTCCACCAGTGGGAAGGTGTTCACCAGGAGGAAGCTGGCCGGGCCCACTCTCTATTCTGTGCTCCTTAGAGTTGGCTATTAGGTGTCACTGCTGCTTGTGAATTAGAAGGTTTTTTTTCCCGTGAATATCTGGTCCCCAAATCTGTATTAATCTTCACTACAGAAGCAGCTCAATATCAGCATGAAAACTCTGACGAAAAGGCCCCAAAACCAGGAGGTGAGGAGGAGAAAGAAGCAGAGGAAGAAACTGAGAAAGAAGCAGAGGAGAAAATCGAGAAAGAACCAGAGAAGGAAAACAAGAAAGAAAAGGAACAAGAGCCCACAAAGAATCTGGACGGTGCAGAGGGAAGGCCCGGAAGTTCCAGGTATCTATAGAAGCTTTGAGTCCTGGTGTGGCGCTGTGGGTTAATGTGCCAGACTTCAAAGCCGTTTGAACTACAAGATCCACAGTTCAAGCTCACCAGCTGCTCCTTGGAAACCCAACACAGGGTCGCTATGGGTCAGAACCGACTCGATGGCACTTAACAACAACATGGTAGCTTTGGACTTCTGGTGTGGTGCTGTAGGATACACAAGGAGTGTGAAACACAAGGTGGGCAGTTCAAACCCACCAGTCACTCCTCAGAAACCCTTTTCAGGGTCTCTAGGAGTTAGAACCAGCACTTAACAGCCATAACATAGATTTAAGGAGCCCTGGTGGTGTAATGGGTTACACGTTGGGTCAGTAGTTCCAATCCACCAGCTGCTCCATGGGAAGCTTTCTGCTCCTGTAAAGATTTGGTGGTGGTGGCGGTGGTGTGGCGTGGAGTCATAGCGACCGTGCATAGGGTTTCCAAAGCTGTAAATCTTTATGGGGACAGAAAGCCTCATTTTTATCCCGCGGAATGGCTGGTAGTTTCGAGCTGCTGATCTTGATGTTAGCAGCCTTACTCATAACCAATACGAATTCTATACAAGGTCACAATGGGTGGGAACTGACATGACAGCATACAGCCATCACCACTACCAGCACCCTGGTAGCTTTGAATCCAGGTAGCCTTGAATATCACCCCACCACTCCTGGTATTAACTGGTTAGTAAGGGGCTCTGGTAGTGTAGTGGTTACAAATCGGGCTGCTATCCTCAGGGTCAGCAGTTTGAAACTACCAGCTGTTCTTCGGGAGAAATATGAGGCTAACTGCTCCCATAAAGATTACAGCCTAGGTAACCCTGTGCAGGGTCCCTATGAGTCGGAACAGACTCCATGGCACATAACAACAATAAGAGTTTTATTTTTATTTGTGAATTCTACTAGTAAATAAGAAAAAAACTATTTAAAATAAGCTTTAAAGTTCAGTTCAACTTCTTTAGAATGGTGATGGAATACTCGTGTATACCAAATGATATCAGGAGCCCTAGTAGCATGGAGTCCTGGTGTGGCGCTGTGGGCTAAAGTGCCAGACTGCAAAGTCATTTCAACTACAAGGTCGCTGGTTCAAGCTCACCAGCTGCTCCTTGGAAACCCTATACAGGGTCACTACAGGTCGGAATCGATTCCTCAGCACTTAACAACAACAACAGTATCATAGTAGGTAACGAGTTGGACTACTAACACAAGGTCAGTAGTTCAAATCTATCAGCCACTCCACAGAAGATTCTGCTCCCATAAAGATTTACAGCCTCAGACCCCTATACAGGGTCACTATGAGTCAGAACTGACTCTATGACACACAGTCATCACCACCTAATGATATAAAATGCAGTATGTTCTGAAATATACTTTCATGGCTACTCATTTCTTCTTGTGAGGTCCTGCATCTGTGAGGCTACTCATTTCTTCTTGTGAGGTCCTGCATCTGTGAGGTTCACCAGTAACTAGGTAGATGTATCAGACCTAGTCATGGAGACCACACTTGTTTAGAAAACAGTTAATCAGAAGCGGCAGCTAAAGGATCTGGACCCGGCACTAACAGGGCTTTCCTCACTTGACCACGGAAGTGCATTCTCCTCTGATACATTTTAGAACATGCTAAATAAATAGCAAAGAGTTAAGAATTCAAGTAGGACCAATTTAATTGTTATTATCTAAATATTTGTTCCATTTTAGATCTTAATATTTTGTATAACAGTCAAAAGGAAAGACACTTAGTCATAGCACAATTGTTTTGAACGCATTGGTAATTAAGTCTTAAGGTATATTTTGTCTTTCGTTATATTTAAATGATTCACGGTTTTCTTTCTTTCCATCTTTTTATGTATTTTCACAGCTGTGTGTTTCATAATAACAGTCTCTGTCCAATACATAGAAACTGAGGGGCCTGAGAGGGTAAGGGAATGTTTAAGATGTTTATTTATATCCTAGAATAATCTCACAAAGAAAAAACAAACAACCAAAAACAGGCATTTATGGTGTTGGGCAAGACAGAGACGGTGTTGGTATCAGATGATTGAAAGCAACAGATGCACAAGAACCATGATCTCTGAGGTGCATGATACATGAGGAAAGGTGTTCTTCACTCTGTGTTGTGTTGTAGCATACAGATAGGCTGTTTGCTTAGAGTTAGAAAAGACACAGATGCCAGTTAATTGTGTATACTTGTTCATTTTCTTTCATTTCATCCTGCAGTGGCAAGGAATCGAAGTAAAAGGACAGAGAAAGAAGCAGGCATCCATTCTTCACTGCAGAAACTGAAGAGACAACGTTCATCCAGAGCCGACAGGAAGAGAAAACCTTCCCCCAGAGCCTGCACTCTGAATTCAAACTTCTAGCCTCCTAAACTGCAAGAAACTTTTGTTCAAGCCATTTGCTTGTGGTGTTTTTGTTATAGTAGCATTAGGTAGCCAAGGTATCTATCTGCCTTATCTTCATTGAAAGGGATCACTTTCCAATATTTGGTAAACCTCTTACAAATTATTGTATTACAATCCAAAGTAAATTAAAATGTCAAGTTGAAAGCAATCTTTGTAAAGAAAGACATGGAAGTCAGGCTGTCTATTAAGCAGTAGCCGCGTGTGTCTACTGAGCCCTTGAATGTGACTGGGTTCCATTTGAGACGTACTATAACAAAAAAAAAATGTTAACCATCTCACTAATGATTTATATACTGATTGTGATATACTGAGTTACTGAAAATATAGCATAAAATTAATCTCACCAGTCTCTTTTTGCTTTTTAAAATGTGACTACTAGAAAGTTTCTCTGCTATTCATAGAGTTTTCAGTGACTAGTGATTCGGAAGCAGTTCATCACTCTCTCTTCCTAGTCTGTCTTTGTCTGGAAGCTCATCTGAAGGGTCGGAGAAAAAAGAGGAAGACCCCCAATGAGATGGATCGGCCAGGTGACATCATTGATGGACTCAAGTGTGGCAGTGGTAGTGACGTTGGCCCAGGATCAGACATTGTTTCGTTCTGCTGTGCACGGTGTCGCTATGAGTCGGTTCTGACTCAATGGCACCTGACAACAACAACTAGAAAGTTTAAAATTAAACATGTGATCCAAATTCTATGTGTATTGGATATGCTGCTTAGACCATGTTTTGAAGGAAAGCCTGTAGATGACCCAGGTTGCCTGCAGGTAGATGATGGTATTGAATCTGCACAGGGTCTTTGATGTGGAGTAGAGATTCTCAAACTGTGGTCCTCAAACTGACAACATTCAGCTTTACAAGGGAACTGGTTAGAAATGCACCTTTTCAGGCTCCACCCAAGATTCTGGGTGTGGAGTCCAGCAATCTGTGTTTCAATAAGCCCTTCAGAGGCTTGTTTCAGGGGATTCTGATGTGCTGAGGTTTGAGAACCAGTGTCTTAGAACCACAGGAAAAGATCATCAATGGTTGGGCCAGCTTACATTCCACTGACTTGGGTCTGTTGAAGATAACAGACTGGAAAGGTTAGAACCAGGAGAGGTGGCTAGAACTGATGGGATTGAGGCACAGAAGGCAAAGACAGAGTTGTTGTTAGGTTCCCTCAAGTGGGTTCTAACCCATAGTGACCCTCTGCACAACAGAACCCAACACTGTCCAGCTCTGCACTGGCCTCACAAATTGCTGCTACACTTGAGCCTATTGTTTCTGCCACTGTGCCAATCCTTCTCATTGGGGAATCTCCCTCGTTTTTGCTGACTGCGCACATTACCAAGGAAAATATCCTGCTCCAGAGATTGGTTCCTCCTGATAATATGTCCAAAGTATGAGTGACAAAGTCTGGTCATCTTTATTTCTAAAAAACATTCTGGTTGTATTTCCTGCAACACAGATTTGTTTGTTCTTCTGACAGTCCGTGGTACCTTTGATCTTCTCTAACACCACAACACAAATATATATAATTCTATGGTCTTGCATATTCATTGTCCAACTTTCACATTCATATGAGGCTATTGAAAATACCATGGCTTGAGTCAGATACTTTGATTCTAAAACTGGTATCTTTACTCTTGAACACTTTAAAGAGGTCTTCTGTAGCAGATTTACCCAATTGCAATACTTAATTTGATTTCTTGACTGCTGCTTCCATGAGCGTTGAGATTGGATTTAAGCAAAATGAAGACTTTGACAACTTCTATCTTTCCTTCATTTATCATGTTATCTTTGCTTTAGTTGTAAGTATTTCTGTTTTATTTACATTAGTGTAGTGCTGTAGGACGAGAACTGGACCTCTAACCATAAGGTGGCAGTTCAAACACCAGCCACTCCTTGGAAAACCCTTTACAGTGTCGCTATGATTTGGAGCCAACTTGACAGCACTTAAAAGCAACAGCTGCTACTGATTGCAAACATTTCACATGTTTGTTGGTCACCTGAATGTCTTCTTTAGTGAAGTGTCTGTTCTTGTCTTCTGCCCTTTTTTTTTATTGCATTGTGTTTTTTCTTATAGAGTTGTTATAATTTCCTATAAATTTTACACATTAGTCCTTGTGTGATTTGTCATTGCAAAAGAAATTTTACAATTCTGTGAGCTTCTTGCTCCCTTGGTGAAATATTTTGATACATATAAGTCTAATTTTTAGGAGGTCCCAGTCATCTACTTTGTCTTCTGCTGTTCGTGTGTTTTTAGTTATGTTTGTTAGTGTATTTGCCATGTATCAGAGTCCCTAAGTTTGGCCCTATAATTATTTTCATTGATGACCTTTATAGTTGTATGTTCCAAAGAGTCGATTCTACCCATAGTCACTATGGGTAGGATTTCCAAGGAGCATCTGGTGAGCTTAAGCCACCGACCTTGTAGTTCAAGTGACTTTGTAGTCTGAGGCATTAGCCCACAGCGCCACTCCAGGTTTATAGCAATACCAAGTCTAAATTGCCTATCCCTACCACCCCTTGTCTGTCAGTTTGTCATACTGCGGTGGCTTGTGAGTTGCTGTGATTCTAAAAGCTATGCCACCAATATTTTAAATACTA